AGAGGCAAACCCAAGGGCAACGCAACCCATAAAAAACTAAGATGTGTTACAATGCATTTTTTATATTTTCAAATGTAATCATCTGGAACTTTTCAACATTGAGATGTTTTTACTACTAGAGTCAGATTTAGATTGTGTGAAATTAACCTTTGACTCGGGTGTGAGGACTGTGTTGCAAATAGGAGGTAAACATTCCCTAATCAACGACTTCTGTTCAAAGAGAGATTCTTCTTTACACTTAAAACCATCTCTTCTACCTGCTTCAACTCCTCTTTAACATACTGTAAATCTTATCACAATCACAATGTGCATTTAACAAATGAATAAGTACTGAGCCCTTATCCCGACAATTTAAAGACAAAAGAAATAAAAGTGTTACCCACTTTTTGTGGGGCGGCTGTGGCTGTAAAGTGCCGTTGTGTCCATAGGCATGACACTTCACTCACATTGCCTAGAATGAGTCTGGTGTGTGTGAATGGTTGGTGGTGCTCGGAAGGGCCAATAGCACAGACTGGTTGCCTCGCTTCTGTCAGTGTGCCCGGTGGTTTATCTCCACCGTGTACTGAGTGAATGAATAATGACATCTTGAAGCGTCTTTGAGTGTCCAAAAAAGTGCTATATAAAACCGATGCATTATTATTATTATTATTAGTAAAGTGATTTGGAAACCCGGTCTCTTGGTGCTGCTTGGTGACTGTACATACGGAGCATCTCTTGCTGTTTGAGAATCTGTGGGTGTTTGACAGTGTTATTCTTTGAGCTATAGGGTTTGGTCAAACACTTCTGAGAGCTGCAGCTGTTTGTGAGTTCAGAGCAAACAGAATCTAAGCCTGGAACCATGAAAGAGCAGAGAAAGGTTACAGCATACAGGAGTAGAGAAGTATGCTCAGGGACTTGTACAGTGTGAGCTCAAAGCTCCTTTTTCTGCTATTCCAGTACAGAGCAGGAAAGTATAAGAAGCAAATATAATACTTCTCTATCTGTGTCAAGGAGCAAGCAAGTATTGAAAGAGTAATAGCCTCTAATGTTTGGTTTAATACATATTCAAACATACATTATCTGTCTATGCCAGACACAAGGTCAATATGTACAGATCATATCTTACTTTTTCTTTCATTTCCTCAGGCAGTAAGCACACTGAGTCTCTCATTTGGGCTGCCAGTTTCCTTTGTTAAGTCTGGCTATTTCAGTCTCAACCTAAACCTAAACATGGTTTAGCTGTGTTTTCAATAACAACAGTAAGAGCAACACCTGTGGAAGAGTCTGTGGGACTCTTAAGAGCGCTGAAAACTGTGATTGCTGATTTTCTAGTTTAGTAGAATTATGATGTATGAAATATATTCAATTCAGCATTTGTCGTTATAATAAATCATTTAAGGTACAAACATCTTTGATTGTATTGTATTGTATTGTATGTACTTTATTTGAACAAGGACAGTGTACAGTTAAGACTAAAAATATGTCCAATAGTTCTGGCATGCGCCTCCTGTACTGGCGACCCCGCTCCCATCTCTGTGTGGAGTGAGAGACAAATGCCCAAAAATTAACAATTGTAAACCGCTTTGAGACTCAGATCTGCAGTGAAAAGGCGGTATATAAATAAAAACTTACTTACTTACTACTTAAGCATTAACACAAAAGGAGAGATGCATGTACCAGGTTATAGCAAAGATGCTAATTTCCACCTCCCTGGGCAGGCTGGTGTTATGTTCATTTAAACTGACTACAATGTAGATGGATACATGACTGTGTCTTACATTTACAGGCTTTAAATAACATCATTCACAAAAACATAAAGTTTAATAACAATAAATAAAGTTCTCCAATTTCTACTATAATATTACCCTCACTCACTCACTCACTCACTCGTGCAAACTTGCTTTTTCAGAAGCCATTTCTTAGTCAGCCAAGAAAATGTTTTAAATGTAGTACACGCAATGATCTCTGTGGGCAGTGTGGACTCATGGCCGTCACAGAAAAAGCAGATTTAGCAAAAGTTGTTCTACATTTTTTGACGCTGCATTCTCCTCTAGAAGTGGATCGAGTGGTTCTGGTCATTTCGTCTGCACTCAGTGAAACTAATTTTCTTAGAGGAGGTGCACTAACACCACGGATAATTTTAAACAGCAAACAAACATTGGAGTAAAATGTTAGGTTTTCAAAGTTGAGAAAGTCATATTTAGAGAGGATGGGACAGTGATGGTACCGCCTGGACTTCTTATCATGGATCTTAAGGGCACACTTGTACAGTGACTCGAGAGGTCCCATAGTGGTTTTACAGCCCTGAGACCAGCTCGAGACACAGTACATACAATGTGACAGGATCATGGAGTTCAGATACAGATGGGACGCCTCAGTGGTGAGTGACCCCCGAATGTATCTGAAGTTGGCCAAATTAAACTTAAGAGTGTTACGGAGTTTCTTTACATGATGTTTGAAGGTCAGGTTTTGATCCAGGGTCACTCCTAAATATGAGAATACATCAACATTTTTAATTTTACTGCCATTAATACAAATATCTGGACAACTGATATGCTTACCTCGGTTTGTAAAATACATTGATACGGTTTTGTCTGTGTTTAATGTCAGACAGTTTTGACACAGCCAGTCAGCAACATTTTTCACTTCATCTGTTAATTTTGTGGCCACATCACTTTCGTTTTTGCCATGAACAAACAACACTGTGTCGTCAGCATACATGATGACATTTGCAGTGCAGACAGAGGGGAGGTTATTTATATAAATGCTAAACAGCAGAGGCCCCAAAATGGAGCCCCGCGGCATTCCCATGGTGTAGTTTTTGAGTGGAGAGAGGGTGTTGTTCACTCTCACACTCTGCTGTCTGCCACTGAGGTATGACTTCAGCCAGTTTATTGTCTGGTTAGAGAGGTGGAAATTAGTGAGTTTGTTCAGGAGGATGTCATGACTGACTGTGTCAAAAGCTTTTCGGAGGTCGAGGAACACCCCCCCCCCACTCCTCCTTGATCAAGGCTAGATCTAATCTCTTCAGTGAAGTAGCAGCAGGCGGCTTCTGTGGAGAATTTGCTTCTAAAACCAAATTGTAGAGGGTTTAAGAAGCAATGGCTGTCAAAGTGTTCAATAAGCTGCTCTGCTACAACCTTTTCAAAGACTTTGGAGATAGTGATCAACGATAACAGGATATCATTGATTCCATATCGTTGAATCCATGCGTCGTGGCATAATTCTCCTTTATTGATCAGTTTTCTTAACCACTTCCACCGTTTGTCAATTTGTTGAAAAAACTTTGTTGATCTCGGCCCTGGCCCCTTGCTAATGGCTTTGTGCTGTTGGTCCAGGCCGTGTCAGAATCTGTCAGTTTCTATCAGTCTGTGCATCATGGCTTTCATTTGGTAATAGCTCTATTATGTATTTTCTTCTGAAAGCTGTGTTGTAATTCATCGGATACGACTGAATGAGCAATTTTTTAGCAAGTTGGTATGCACTCGTCCATCAGTATTTCTTTAAGCTTCTTTGAATAATAAATGAGCATATGGGAGAGCTGTTCGCTGAGCCGAGCAAAGCTATGAGCTATAGAAGAAGAGGAAAGGCGGCAGATGCCCTTAATGTGGAAACGTGGCTGAACTGTCAGGTACAATCACAAAGGATACATGAACAAGGGATAGAGGAAAGAGGGCAAGACTTAAAAAAAAATGTGGCACGCATTTTTCTCTGGAGGCCACACATGCTGACAAATATCAGGAAAATTAGGGGTAACCTGGGTCCATGTCAACCCAATATACTGTTACTAAATATTACGACTTTGCTTCTGAGAGGTTTTGGGCACAGTCGGCTCTCATATAATTTATCTGCATAAGCTGAAAGTGGATTTCTCTTCTCTTGTACTTCTTTCTCATAAAGATCAAAGCTTACATTTCCGGTTAAACTCCAAATAGGCCAGATATTGTGCGGCGTGCCCTGGGACAGAGGCCATTAGAGAGTGGTCCTACAGGGACTGAGCTCCAGCGTCTGAGCCACTAACGATATCTCACTGATTGTGTGCACTCTGAGCTGTAAGAACGCACAGCTACAGGCCAAAGAGCAAGACGTATTCATTATGTGGCTTTTCTAAACGTCTATATCTGTAAAAGCTGCATGGAGCGCCCATATTTTTAATTCTACAGAACGTCCTCGGGGTCATTTGTGAACGCAGCAGGACGGTCTCATTACAGTGGGTTTGATGTGGAGGCAAAGACACCGCTCGGACCTGAAGGATTTCAAATGAAACACTGCTCAGAAATGAAATAGCCTGTCAGGGGCTTGATGGCCAACAGGAATTATGATAAACGTGCTATTAGTACAAATCCTTTAATTACAAGAAGCTGGTAATGGAAACTGTCCATCTCATTCGTGGTGATTTTACTGAGAATATGTTTCAAATGCTCCATGGGTAATGAGTCTGTTTAACGAGTTCATCCGAAGCATTTGGTAAAACAGGGATTTTTTAACCCATTTAGGAGTTTTTGCAGCAATTCGATGCTAAACAAACAGAGGGTGGAGTCCTGAAAGGGGAGGACTACTAAAATCTACTAAAACAGAAATAAACACAAATGTATGTAATGTGCTCCAATTGTACATGGATGATGTATAAATAAAAAATAAAAATTACTGTGAAACTAAAAATGAGTAAACTGTTGTTGGAAGCCAGCTTGCTGTATAGAAAGCGTTCTAGATTCTGCTACCTTGGCGCCTAAAGCAAATAAAAGCCTAAGACCTTTTTTTCTTGCACCAAAGAAAAAAATATATACAAAAAAATAAATTAAGATTATTGTGCATAGTATGTGTGGCAGAAGAAATGTTTTTTTGTGACAAAGACCAGCAATTTTAACACACCAAATCAAGCCAAACCCTTTCAAAACACAACCAAAACAAATCTCACCTGTGAATATCTCTCTTTTCTATCTCTTCTATCAAATGTTTTCAATGATTTTGTGTTTTGTCATTAAGCACAGCAAACCTTCTTGTGTCGGTGCAGTACTCACAAGCGATGATGTTTCCGTAACGATTCTTGTTGCGGTTCTCGTCCTTCTTGGCAGTGTCCCATGGGGCCGCCTGTCCCTCCGCCAGGGCCTGCATGCACACACAAACACAGATGTAGAGCATGTGGGGACATATGGCCTCCTGCCCAGGGTCTGTTCAACTGCTCCACACACATGGAGAGGCTACGAGAATTACATGAATATTAATAACGATCTACTCATGATCCGATGCAGACCATTACCGTCGAGTGATGGCACAACAAACACAATGAATTAATAATGTAATTGCAATGGAGAATTACTTTAGTCTGTTTTAATGGATCCATGCTATTTCAGGTTATTTTCCTTATAACTGTATCTTTTGCATATAACCCCGCTTAAGAAATGTTTAGCGATATTCCTATATTTATACTTGAGTCTGCTTTTAGAACAGACCTCCATATGGTCCCACCCGGTCTATTTTCCACCTGAATGAGCGATGCGTTTAAGTGTCTGTCTCTGTCCAGTGATTTTTGGATCCTATTGTGTGTCTATGTAGGTCACGCATGAGAAAGTCAAAGTGTTGTAACTCGTCGGCCATCTTTGGATGTAATGGCTCTTGTCTACAGGGAGTGTGAGAGTGTGACCTCTGCATGTGTGGAAGAAATAGTCTCTGTCCATATGCTGAGCTTTGAGAGTTGGGCTTTAGTGGCTTAGATCACACTATTGTATTATGTACAAATCACACACCGTTTAGTGTTCCCATGAATTGCTGCAGCCTACTTCAATATTTAAACTTCTCCAGAAATTTCTCCTGTGTGAGATCAATAAAGTCAATCTTATCTTATCTTATTTAAAGACAATGTTGTAATCGCATAGGTTGTCATAAAGAGAGAGCATGAATTGTGTTAAATATTGGCTAATAGCACAGCAGATATGTTATACTTTTTAACAAAGAATCATGCACGCACCAAAAAAGTTGATTTTAGTGGATTCATGAGAACGGAAAATATTGATTCAAGAATGACGATTGCCACCTCATCAAGATTTAGGCACCATTAGTTTGATCTTCATTGGAAGCCGTCCATTTGAAATATTCATTATCAATTCTATGAGAATGTTGATCAAATACAAGATAAGTGACCAAAGTCACTATATATTGACTGACGATTTCAGTTTAGCGAGAGAGAACAAGGTAGTACTGAGTCACTATCTGAAGAGAGAGGTTAACACAATATTTTCAACTATGTATTTAACTAGTTTAGTATTCACAAAATCTCATAATGACACTGGCCATAAAAGCAATACATTCCAAGCCCATTATTGCACAACATACTTAACAAGCAGTTGAGCTGAAAAAAGCACAATTTGAGGGTGACACTGTGATGGAACAGTTGAAGCCCATACTCAACCTAATTAATGTTTCAAAACTCTGCCTCTTCTTCTTACTTCCTGATGCTGAGAAGTTAGTCCACAAATGTATCTTCTCCTCCTTTTCTCCTTCTCTCCCAGATTTCTCCAATCACTCCTCACTCGGGCAGTTTGAATAAGCAACTATGTGCTAATAAGAATATATTTTATGACCTGAGGTTTCCTGATGACATTCAAATACTGTGATGATTAGAGGTGTGCACTGTTGAGGTATGTATCTTAGAAGAAAACACATTTTCATAATGCCAATTATAAATGTATTTATAGCTTGTAGAAGCTTGGAACAATAGGCTCCATAATCAGGGTCTCATCTCAGTCAAAGCTGATAGATAATATTCCCCGGGGATGGGTTCATATACAGTATCATTTCACACGCCTTCTCATCCACTATTTGGTGGCATTGGCCAGTGCCAGTGGATATAAAGCAAAATGACAACGGTAAATGAAAATACAATGTTCGGCATCTCCCGGGACAAAATCCCACACGTAGCTCTGATAAATAGAGGGTAGGATGTAGATGAAGATTTATATATTTGGAAGCGCATACAGTATTTCATACGGGCCCCAAGAATTCATGTTTAATACAAAGCCAAATGAAATGAGACAGCGATAAAAGGAAAAGAGAAAAACACAAAGGGATTCAGGATTTCCTGAGAAAATGACCTCACGGGCGAATGCACAAGGAATGATCCGGACGTGTCTTTGTGTGGAACTGCAATGAGGAGAGCGAGGGAAGACAGTGTGTGATGTGTCGCATGAAAGTCCACGATAGGAAAGGATCAAACACCAATGGGAACAAAAGTCAAGCATTAAGTTCCAGGTCTCATAAATGAGCGTCTGAGGGGTATTTATGAGCAGTATAATGAAGTGTAGGGACAAGCTTTGACTGTTAATCTCCGACAATTACTGCTGTAGCTAAAAACAGGGTCAAACTACAAGATTGTCAAATAGTGCCCAGTCTGACCTCATACTCCTCCTTGAATCCATAGCCCTGGCCACACTTCATCTGTGTGATGTGCTGGAGGAGGTCTGCCACTCGGATGGCTGGAGGTATGTGGCCCGACTGGAACTGACCTGTAGCGAGAGAGGAAACTGATTATGCATCGAGGCGGCTTGGTGGCGCATCGGTTAGAGCTTGTGTTTCACAGCAAGAAGGTCCTGGGTTCGATTCCACCTCCAGACCTGAGCCTGGTTTCTCCTACCACTAAAAACATGTCGAATAGGTGTGAATGTAATGAGTGAGTGAATGGATCGTTGGTTTGATGCTCCAGTATGTTTTGGCATATTTTAAGTCTGAACATTGTAAAGCGCTTTGAGTGACCTTGGTCTGTAAAATGCGCCTGATAAATTCACATTATTTACTTACTACTTACAAGGACAAGAACGGACAAAAGAGACATTTAGTTTGTTTTTGTGTAGTTTGTCAGTAGAAAATAGAAGTCATTCACTTGCATATAACATTAGTTACCATGATATTTAGACCTTTCTGTATGGCATTTGCATGTTCCACTCAGGTTTCCTCTGGGTGCTCCGGTTTCCCCTACCTCTAAAAGCATGTACAATGGGTCTGGTATGTGCCTGCTGTATGGCGACCCCGCTCTCAACACTGTGTGGAGTGAGAGGACAAATGCCCACAATGAGTGTAAAGCGCTTTGTGATATTGTTCTGTGAAAATTGTAAATAATCTATCTATGCCATGGTGTTTTGTTGTGATGTTGATACGAGGTCCCATGTTTGAAATAAAATAAATGGAGAGCAATGTAACGTACCGCTCTGGTAGGACAGCTCCACAGACTCACATCCTGCATAGGGGAAGCTCTGCAGGGTCAGGGAGGGCTGGGACATAGACGCCTGGCTGCTGTCTGCAACACACAAGGAAGAGTCCAAACACTGACACTGAACTCTCAAACTACACACAAATCCTTTTGGAAGTCGTGATGCAAGGGATCAAAAATAAATCTTTATTAGAGGGAGCATTTCAGAAACAACTTGGAGCATGTCTTCCTGAAAATGTGATACACTACCCTGACAAATGTTCAATCCATTTTATAAACAGTTGTAATTAGCTGTCCATAAAAACAGAAGGAATCTACTCTTTTAATTTCAATCATTTCATATGTCGTGTGCGTGTTTCCTCTCCATCCATCCATCCATTTTCTACCCTTTAAACCATTTCTGGGTCAGGGGGGTGGCAATCAGAGATGCCACCCAAGTCTCATAGCACCAGCCCCTCACTGACCCTCTGCAGGTGGTGAGTCCACAGGAGGACGGCTGCTCTCTGAGTGTGAGCATATCCTTGATCTTTCAGTGGGGGCTTTGGGCAAAGTGGGGTTAAGTGTCTTGCCCAAGTACACAACGACAGTTTCCTCTCTTGTTTTGTAAAGCGCTTGGAGTTGCCTTGTGTATGAATTTTGCTAAACAAATAAATGTGTCCTGCCTTTATATCTTTTTACACGTTTAATATAGTCAACGTTTTGTACTGGCTATTAAGGGTCTGTTGGGATGGATTTTTAACTTAGGGTATTGTGTAGTTCAGTGTTTTTCAACCAGTGTGCCGTGGTACTTTGATGTGCCTTGAGACGTGTATCGTTGGAAATGATCACCAAAGAGGTCAAAATAATGTGAAAAGAAAATAATGTAGGAAGATTAAATAGATTTTTTTATGCTTGTTTGATTTTCTTTATAGTTCACTTTGCCTTGTTACTAAAGGCTGCAGATTTTAGTGTAGTTTTTTAATATCAGTTTCAGCTGGTGATGTGCCATGTGATTGTTTTCTTGTTTTATTTCTATTATTTTTATTTGTTTTATTTTTTAACACCCAGTGATAGGGGAGTACTGTACATATACAGTAGTTACATTCAATGGTTACAGTGGGCGACAGTAGCTCAGTTGGTAGAACATTGGCCTTCAGGCCTGAAGGTCGTGGGTTCAATTCCCACCTCTACACCTTCTCCACCGACTCCCACTGATGACTGCTGTCGTTGTTTCCTTGGGCAAGACACTTAACCCTACTTTGCCCAAAGCCCCCACTGAAAGATCAAGGCTATGCTCACACTCAGAGAGCAGCCGTCCTCCTGTGGACTCACCACCTGCAGAGGGTCAGTGAGGGGCTGGTGCTATGAGACTTGGGTGGCATCTCTGACTGCCACCCCCCTGACCCAGAAATGGATTAAAGGGTAGAAAATGGATGGATGGATGGTTACAGTGATTATACAAACTCCTGTACAGTAGCATTGTGGGTAGGAGATGGACGGGGGAGGGGGTTCAGAGTCCCACAAGAATGCTGTTGTGTGTGTGCGTGTGTGTGATTGTTGTGATCGTTTTCAATGAATAAAGTGTGTCACGGCTCAAAAAACGGTTGGGGAACACAGGTCTAGTTAACAAGACCCCCAACCATTTAGTATATTACATTAAAAGGCTTACGAGCGGCGAAAAACACAAATAGACACAAATAGCATGACAACAAATATCTACCCATAAAAGAAAATAACAAAGGACAATTAAGAGTACAGTATTGAGCGATGTACAGTACAGGGTTGTCACTGATGAACGCGTCTGGATGCTAATGTACTGATTTATGGAGCCGGCTGTGTGCGGCCTGTGTTTAGTCCTTCATGTTTGGCTCCGAGCCTTCAGTCTGACCCCCTCCTCACGCTGCTTTATTTAGTGACATTGAACGCAAAGGACTCAGCATTTGGCAGTACCTGTAAGTCAAACTGATGGGCCCTATTTATGCACTGGCAGCTTTATACGGCAGCCAGCGTAGTAAAGGAGAGACTTTATTACAGTTATAAGAATTTTATGTTCTCAGACGGAGAGTTTATTTTCTGCTTCTCGGGGTGCTGCCGTGGAGATAATTACAGTGTTGCTGTTGTTTTGGGCCACTCAAAAAAATAAATATACGGTTTTGGCTGCGTTGTCATTTATGCAAGATTTTTGTGGGATTCGTTCATTTAAACGTGAGTTATGCAGTGTTCTTTGCACTATGGTTAAGTTTATGTTTTTTTTTCTTTTTGGACAAACAAATACTATTTTTTTTTAAAGTAGAAGGATAATAATGACAATCTATAAAAGGTCCGGTTTCATGCATATGAACGTTGTTTTTTTATTTTTATTATTATTATAAAGTCATGGTTTCTAGTGCAGGTTTCAGTATAACAGTATCAATAAACGGGTCAAATTACAAGTACAATAAGCCATGAATGTCTATTTTCTTTTTAAACAAGGAAAGGCTTCACATCTATATGTATTCACCTTTTTGAAGGGGGGATTTCCTTTCATCATGTTTATTCATTTGATTAATACTTTTTCAATGAGATAAAACAACTTCCATCGATACAGCTTACACATAATTTATTTCTGGATTGTATCACTTTTTCATCATTTTTGTATGATTTAAAGCAAAATTATTTATTTTGAAGTCCCACCTATCAACCAATGTACCTTTTGGGCACTACAGGCACTGCACTAGTTATATATTTATCTTCCAACGGCTGTAACTGTCAGCTAACATATCCATCAAGGTAGAAAACTGAAGCTTTAATCATTTCGCTCCAACACTGATACAACTCTTAACAGAATGGCTTAATATAGAGTAATTCATAGCTTAGGTTATTTCTCCCAAGCCAACATTTTCCAGACCACTACTCACTTGTGTATTTCACCAGACCACAGCCGCAGCCATTGTCAAAGTGAAAAATGTCACAGTGTGAGTCAGACCCATCGCTTCTGAGTGTCCAGTAAATATGTCTCTGCAAAGTGCGTGGACTTAATCCTTTCTCAGATTCAAAACAGCTTTCTCTCCCTCTGCTCTCAGCTAAATTTACCAGCAGTTCCACATTATGACCAACAAAATGACTGCTATTACCCATAATCACTGCACTGCGGACAAATTATACTTGCAGTTTTGGACGGGGTAAAAAGGGCTTGGAGTTGTATGTGAGAATGCTTTTGAAAAGGACAAAAGAACACATCAGACAAAACTCACCCTTAAGCTCTGTCCCTATAGCCTAAATCTAACCCTTTCCTGACTTTCTCACATGACATTTGCCCTCACTCTCTGGTCCTGGGAGAGAGTCACCAGCTCAACTGCAGCCTTCACCTTGTTCCTTTGAAAAGCTGAGGTGACATAACCTTTAATGCACATCGGGTTGGAGGAAATGGATTTTTTCAGCTAAACGTGTTTGCCCATAAAGCGAGGGCCGAGCCACCATGCTCTCCTGATCTGCAGGATTTACATCGCATCAGAGCCAACGCGTGCTAACAGCTGTCCTTGGCTCGCGTTTTTAGCATGCCTCCCTATAAAACTCTCACGTACGGTAAACGGTACAATACAGTGTTTGAATCTGCTCTTTTACAGAAGCTTCGGAAACGCTATGTAATGTATAAACTGAATGATCGGCTATGTCGGCTCATTCCTATCACCTCTTCAACACACACACACACACACTGGCTACAGGACAAACGTCGCAAACTCAAACGCACCAGTTTTAGTATCACAAAAGCCCAAACATCTAAATATCAAAGTACAAAATCTAATGAATTGAGAAAATCTAAAACAACTATAATACCAACATTATACAACACCATGAACACCAAAGACCTAGAACCAAAAACAGTCAAACAATCTTGAGATGTGTTATTATTGTTGTTTACCGTAACATGAATGGTATCAGTTATTATGTTGCATGAATGTAGTTATGGATAAACATGTGTCACAAGCAAGCCCCGGTGATCCAAGATGGCGCCCTATTCAAATGAATGGCTGGTGCTCAGTAGCGCATGGGACTTCTCGGGCGCTGACATATCAGAGGAACTCGCCTATAAGCTATTGCGGATTCCTGGGAGTTCCTTTGAACAAAGCTCTTACAAGCTCTAGAAATTAGCATGTGCATCAGTTGAGTAAATAAAGAGCATTGAAAAAAAAAAAAAAAGATGCAGAGGGACTTCCAGTTTTTTTGTAACTTTGCAGAAGTTTTAATATGAATTCAAAAAAGTCTGACAGTCTGCATTTGTTCTGACAGTTATTGGACTACGCTGCCTGCATCCTATGGACTGGAGCTTCTAGTCCCGTCTTGTCAGAACTGTAGCTCTGACACCAACAGATTGAGACAAGATCAGAGTTTGATACAATAGAACATTTGTCTCATCGGTCTTGTGGTGCTCCATACATATTCCTCTGATTATTGAATCTGTAGTGCGTAGTTGTGTAGAACAGATGGCGCCGACGTCTCGGATCTGTCTCTGATTTATGCTTCAGCAGAAAGTACTCAAGCGTCCAACTGCATTCTGCTTCATCACGTTTGTGTGTTTCATCAAATCATCATGTTTTAGATCATCTGTTTTCTGCCTTGCATCAGTAGGCAGTCTGCACCAACTTTCAAACACGCTGCACTAAATCAAGCCTAACTAAAAAACATGATGCTGAAATGTACAAGATTTATGTTGACTCCTCATTAAACAACTTCAACTTTAATATTTACCTCAGCAAATAAACGCATATACATACTGTATTGTGAGCACATTTTTGCCCATATTTAGGGATTTATATACTTTCATAGAGCAAGAGAGAGGATGATGTACGAGCCAAAGTCTAGATATCAGTGGTTGAAGTCACAAAAAAGTGTGAAGTAACATGGAAATCTTACCAATAGAAGTAGTGGCTGGGACAGGCTCTTTAGACACTGCACAAAAGCACAAACAAGTCAAAGAATGAGGATTATATATCACAAATTCAAGTTCAAGAATAATTGAGTTTGTTGAAGGCTTTGTCTATACCTGAGTAGTAAGAGTTGATGAGGGACTTGCTCTGGAGCGTCTTGTTTCCTTGGACTGAGAAGCTGCAGGATGAGGGAGAGGCTGTTGAGAAGAAGCAGAGTTAGCATTGATGCTACAGTTGACAGAGCGTTTGATAGAGCATGGTATAGGAGCAGAGGCAAGAGCAAAGGGCAAAAGAGTAATGGGTCGATTAATCTATCAGCAAAACTCACAATAAATCATAACTGGCCAGTTAACAATGAAAGTGTCAACAGACAAGCCTATAGTCCATATTCATCTGAAGGTACAATCCAATAACACTAATGCTCTGGTCGAAGGCACCAGACCAAAAGTGCTTCAGGCCCAATAAGTGAGCACTTAAAAATGACACATTCACAATAAGGTCAATATACTGTATGTGGCTATTGTTTTGGAACAGAGAGCGGATTGAACAAACAAAAGTTGTCAAATGAACCAAGCGGAAAATACATTAGTTGCACATTTATGGATTGAGGGCAAGTATGTCAAATTAGCTGATTTTGCCATTTCGGGCAAGGGTAATGTACAATTCCTCTGCACAGCCTCATTTAAAGCCATCATCAATCATCAAAGTCCATCAGATTCCTATCAAAAACTTAAAATGACTAGTCTAAAGCAGGTGCCTGATTGATGTCTGTTGTAAATGTGCTTCCTACACAGTGTTGGTTGCCTGCTTCTCCACACTGTGAAATCCAAGAGTGGTGCAGACGCCTGAGGAGGTTTGTGGACTGACAGTGACATATTAAACTGGAGCCTCGCAGTTATCACAGCTGCGGACACATTTATCCACCCGACCCACGCGATCTCCATCACTCACTCAAGGGACTGGACTCATGGAAAAATGACAATTACAGATGGGAGACATTTATCATGCTGTTAAGTTCACAGCTAACCCCAGAGATGGATCATTTGGTCATTGGCGAGATTATACAATGCAACATACTGTCTAAAGTCATCCTTAAACCGTATATATGTTTTGGTTTAATCCAAAGTGTAATATATTGACTTTGTCCTATGTCTTGCTTTCCCCCTGACCAGAAATTACACAGTTCTCTTCAAGCAAACGGCAGCAGCACGTTAAACTGCCAATAATAAACGTTCATATACAGTGGAGTTTGTGAGGAGGTCTCTGTGGATGCAATAACAAAGGTTATTTCTTTGTGAAGGTCTGCAGAATATTATTGGTCCCTCCTCGTGTCAGCGTTTTTCACTCTCTCATCAGAGCTGAGGCAGAGATGCGACTGTAACTCCAGGGACAAAGGGAGCACAATGTCTGTAAGTGAGTTTGTTTGAGCGAAGATATGTGAGATTTTATAATGGAAAACGCCAATTGTCTCGATAGTAGTTTTCAAAATCATAACAGTGTGGTAGATAAATGCTTGTTCCGTGTAAAATGTTCTTTAAAACCAGTAGTATTTGAATTCAAAGATGTTATTTGTTTCTGTAGCAAGAATTATGGTCCATAGAATCTACCAGTCCCCATTAAAACAGAGGAGGATTGACTGAAAGCAGGTATCACTAAAATAACTCCTGACTAAATAATTAGTTCAAACATCTGAGGAATGTGATTACTTAACGGGGTATTTCTCATATTAAATAAAACAAAGCTGGCCAATGATTGGACCAATGATTAAGGGGCCTCAAAAATAATATATCTCTGTCTTCACCATTTTTAAATAATTAATATGAATGTCAGTAGATTTCAAACATTATTTGCATGAATTTTCGAAGAGTTGAATTTTAAATCTACGTCGCTTTGTGCAAAAGATACATATGTCATTTATGCAAGACATGTTTCTAAAGGAGTATTGTTGCATGTACGTTTATCACCAAAAGGTTCTTGTCTCCATTTGAAAGTACCAGCCGCTGAGACATACAGTGGCTAAATAAGTCCAGAAAGTTCCTACTAAATGTGAACATGCATCAAAAATTGGACTAGTACAGAAGAAAAAGAGCAAGAAAATGCTTCGGCAGTGGAAAAATGTCTATACAGTACAGTACAGTACGGCCCTTCACGTGTACTCTGTGAAAGTCAGCTCTTTTCCGCTGCGTTAGTGCGTCCTCCCTCTGTGTCTGCTGTAATTAGACGGGCCTCTCAGAAGGGCATTCTCCTCTTGAAAATGTCAGCCTGGCCTTTTGGGAGCTCGGTCGCTGAGAGCCAGGGCTGCTCCGGAGGGACTGAGTAACAAGCTAAAGCTGAGGAAAGTGCCCAGTGTCCACGCCGCACTGTGTCCTGCACTAATGCTGCTCATCACACACACTTAACCGCTTTTACACTCTGCTGGATAAACCCTGACATTTACATGCTTTCAAGTGTGTTCAAGCATTTGTCGTCAAAGGGATTGTTGTCATCAAATGAGTGCATAATTAGTCCTTAATAAGTGTATACCTGTTGATATTTACCCAGAAAACAATATGACCAATTACCTGATTTTGGGCCGAAAAAAGTAATTTTTAGTTCTAGTTTTTTATAGATACGGTATTGATCCCTGAAGAAGAAATTCAGGTGTCCAGTATCAGAGAAAACCCATCCATCCACACAAACATGATATGAAGTTCTAGGTATGAAGTATCTAGAACAACATAACAATGTCCCGAGAAATCCTGGATGGAATTTTAATTTTCAGAAATTAAAGATTGACAAATACACCTGCGTAAGCAAATTTTTTTCCTTAATTCCATCCCAATGCAATTTCACATTTTAGAAGTAGATGTAAAAAAAGTACATAGGAGCAACATACATGTACAATCTACCATAATCTTTAGCGATATCTTTTGCTAATACAATTTACAATCTCAATAACCCTATTTAGCTTGGACTACTGCATCATGGTCTTACCAAACCCGTTGAGTTCCTGGTTGGAGGTGGAGAAGGGGTCGTCTTTGTGCAGAGTACTGACTTTTGTGGTGCTTTTATCAGCTGTGGTCACTGGACCCATCTCTCTCTGTTGTGTTGAGCTGCTGGCCGTCTCTTTCTGCTTTTTCGCCAACTTCCTACACACAGGGCAACAGGAGGAGATAATACAAATGTAGATTGAATTGACCCTTTTTTTGCAAGCATGATTGAACAATGTTTCTAGCATCCAATGACACGCACACAACAGGAGAAAAAACAAAAAAATTCTGCTTGGAAAGGTTTTGTGCTTAAGTTATTGTTACCAACCCTTTTGATCCTATATGAATGTTCCTCTCTGCTCTTACTTTACCTCTTTACCTCTTTAACCCAACACCCCCACCAAGCTGACAAACATAGTAAGAAGTCTATATCACAGAGGACATGAAAAGTTTGCAAAAATCCAACATCTAAAAAGCCGCACATTTCTCATGAATCAAAGAGCCTTTTTTCTCCTTAACTTTACATTTGAACATTACTTGCAATAATATCAACGTAAGAAACTGAAAAGTACACATAGCATTGGTGCTTGCCTCATGAATCCAGGAGAAAGTTAATACATCCAGGCTGACACATCAAAGCTGAAACTCATACATAAAGATTTTACTAAACTGTGTAACTGCACGAGTCAAGGATGAACTCTCCAAAATATGTTCAAAACTGTAGAAAATTACTTCTGAACCGTAATTGTCAAGGTGTAACACGATGTAAGTATGCAGAGGACCAACATTTTAGGAGTGGTTTCATAAAAGAGACCCTTCCACTCAAACAATTTATTCCCTCCTGTGGTTTGGAGGCATACTTACAGAAAATCTATACAGACTGATGGAGAGCTGTCCCTGCTGGGCATACACACTGAGAGCTGAAAAGGCACTCCAAATAATGTGTTTCTGAAAGTAGGGATGGGAGCAGGGGGTGAGAATTTTCAATCAACACCTTTTTCTGACAGTTCTACCTTTTGTTTTGTTCTTAATCCATAAACGAAGAGCTATTATAATTTAACCAGATATGAATTAAACCACCTAAAGATGAAAAGACAGTGCCCTTTTTGTGCCCCTTGTTCTTATCATTAATTCTGGCCTTTCCTTGTACACAGTTTGTTGTGTCTTGTTTATTCTATTGCCTCTTACTTGAGCCTTTTCCATTTCTACTCTGTCTGCTCCAAAGTGCTGGCAGAAGGACATGGGCTACTCTAAGCTCCAATCACACACAGGATTTTCACCGAGGGCATGAGGCTTGGATCTCTCTGATGGAGAAAATGATTACAGGGAGGACATTCGTCTGCTTCCATAATGCCCATTCATCTATCTTTTCCTTCTGGTCTGTTCCTGATCATTTTTGACCCTATCTTCACCTGCATAGTTTAATACAATCCTCTATGAGAAAGTATCAGTTCTTGTGTCCAATTGAAGATGGGAAATGGTGAATATGGACTGCCCTACCCAAAATCACACCAAATTTGGCATTACGCTCAGACCGGTCAGACCACTTGAATAGAATTGATATGATAGCAGCACAAGCACATACAAACAGTAGCAAATACAGCCACACAACATCTTGTTCACACAAAGCATTTGATTTCCGCATATGCTCAACTGCAGCTGGAGGTTTACATGTGTTTTATGTATGGGTCAGAAATTCATTTATCCATGAATTTCAAGATTTCAAGATTTTTTATTTGTCAAACCAAGTGAATGGTTTGAAATTATATTTCTCTCATCCTTGATTGTGGAGCGGGGGGTGGGGGAAGAGGGGTGGGAGGGAGGGCAGGGAGTTCAGCTTCCTAATGGCCTTGTGAATGAAACTGTTTTTAAGTCGACTGGAACTGTTCCGTAAATTCTGCAGTCTCCTTCCTGAAGGCATTACCCTGAAGAGCCTGTGTGATGGGTGCGTAGGGTCCCTGGTGATTCTAACGGCTTTGCGGGTGAGACGGGTGGAGTACGTGTCCTTAATGGTGGGGAGAGGGGCTCCACAGATCTTCTCTGATGCTCTCACGATGCGCTGGAGGCTCCTTCGGCAGGAGGCAGTGCTGGTGCCGTGCCACACAATGATGGAGCTGGTCAGGATGCTCTCTATAGTCCCTCTGTAGAAGTTGCACATAACGGAGGATGGAACTCTAGCTCTTTTTAACTTGCGGAGAAAGTAGAGACGCTGATTACTTTTCTTGACCAGTGATGTAGTGTGCATGGTCCAGGAGAGGTTCTCTGTGATGTGCACACCCAGGAACTTAGTGCTGGTCACCCTCTCCACTGCAGCACCGTTGATTGTTAGAGGAGCATGCTGGACCCGTGCTTTTCGAAAGTCCACAACCATCTCTTTTGTCTTCTCCACATTTAGAGAGAGATTGTTCTGTGTGCACCACATGGCCAGACTGCTCACCTCACTTCTGTAGTTTGACTCGTCTCTGTTGCTGATGAGACCCACCACTGTTGTGTCGTCTGCAAACTTGATGAAGAGGTTTGAGTCGTACTTTGGAGCGCAGTCATGGGTCAGCAGAGTGAACAGAAGGGGGCTCAGCACACAGCCTTGGGGAGCCCCCGTGTTCAGTGTAATGGTTCTGGAGGACTTTCCGCCGACACGTACAGCCTGTGGTCTCCCTGTCAGAAAGTCCAGCAGCCAGTTGCACAATGGAGCAGTTTGTGTATCCCCAAGTGGAGCAGTTTGTGTATTAGCTGCTGTGGGATTATAGTGTTGTATGCTGAGCTAAAGTCTAAAAACAGCATTCTAACGTAAGAGTCCTTTGTTTCAAGGTGAGTGAGGGCTGAATGAAGCGCAGTGGAGATGGCATCTTCAGTTGAGCGATTGGACCGATAAGCAAACTGGTATGGGTCCAGGGTGGGAGGGAGAACAGATTTGATATGTTCCATGACGAGCCGCTCGAAACACTTCATAAGAATTGGAGTGAGTGCTACTGGGCGGTAGTCATTAAAGCCGGAGGGTGGTGACTTCTTTGGCACCGGAATGATGGTGGTCGCTTTGAGGCACGTTGGGACCACAGCCTGCTGCAGAGATGTGTTAAAAATGTCTGTGAAGACTTCAGTGAGTTCATCAGCGCAACCTTTCAGTACACGACCTGGTATGTTGTCTGGACCCGGTGCTTTGCGTACGTTGATCCTGCTCAGAAATCTTCTCACACTCTCTGGAGATATAACCTGGCAAGAGCCAGATTGATGATTGTGTAGAACTCTAACGCGTTCTCCACGATATCAATCTGGGATTTCTGCAGGAGAATCCTTTCGGGGAAAGGAGGGCTAAGCAGCAGAATACTTCAAGCTGATTGGGCGAAGTGACGCTGTGTGCCCGCCTACCAAGGTTGCCGTCCAGTAATGCACAAAGCGCCTCTCGCTGTTCATCTTTCAAAAAAGAAATTGGAGATTCTGCTAAAACTGACTTGATAGCCTCAGCTACGCGTCCGTCCTCCTCGTCAAACCCGGATATCCCGCCCTAAACCCCCAGACTGGCGCGTGATTGGCTCGCACACCCAGTGGTTCGACTCGAAAAGTGTAAGCGGGAGCGGTACAAGATGTATTCTCGAGTGTTTGTGAACTCACAAATACCGCGAGACTCAGCTTGCAGGCAAGGTTACTGGAGATAGCCTCAGCACTTGGTCTTCAGGAGGAGGTATTGACATTTGTGCCGGGGTTCTGTTGAGTGCCTCGTAGCGAGCAAAGAATTCATTTAGAGCGTTCAACTGAGAGGTGTCACTGTTACAGGTTTGTCGAGGAGGTTTATAGTCTGTGATGGTCTTTATCCCCTCCCACAGACTCAGAGTGTCTCTGCTGTCTCTGAAGTGATCAGTTATCTTTTTGGAGTACTGCTTCTTCGCTTTTTTGATGCCACGGGACAGGTTGGCCCTAGCTGTCCGCAGTTTCTCCTTGTCACCAAATTTGAAGGCAGCATTCCGGACCCTCATGAGCCTGAGGACTTCATTTGTAATCCAAGGTTTCTGGTTGGACCTGATAATGATGGTCTTAGAGTCTGTAACATCCTCAGTGCACTTGGTGATGTAGGCAGTGACAGTCTCTGTATACTCCTGGAGATCAGTGATATTGTTGTGAATGGCAGCCTGCTTGAACATATTCCAATCTGTTGTGTGAAAGCAGTCGTTGAGTTTCTCTAAAGAGTCTTCACTCCACACTTGAATCTGTTTCCGAACTGGTTTAGTGACTTTAACCAGTGGCCCTTATGCTGGCAGTAACAGAATAGTTATATGGTCCGAGGCACCAAGATGGGGGAGGGGGTGTGCCTTGTACGCTCCTTTTTTGGTGGTGTAAACCAGATCCAGGATGTTGTTGGAAAGTCAATGTGTTGATAGATTTTGGGGAAAACGCTCTTTGGGTCCCCAGCTAAGATGAGAAAGGCATCTGGGTGGGCTGTCTGTTGGTCACTGACACTCTGGAACAGTTCATTCAGTGCCTCTTTCCTGTTTTTGATGTTGGAGGTGGGCGGTATGTACAGTGCCTTGCGAAAGTATTCGGCCCCCTTGAACCTCAACATTTCGCCACATTTCAGGCTTCAAACATAAAGATATAACATTTTTATTTTCTGTCATGAATCAACAACAAGTGGGACAAAATCGTGACGTGGAACGAAATGTATTGGATAATTTAAACTTTAACAAATAAAAAACTGAAAAGTGGAGCATGCAATACTATTCGGCCCCTTTACTTTCAGTGCAGCAAACTCACTCCAGAAGTTCAGTGAGGATCTTTGAATGATCCAATGTTGTCCTAAATGACTGATGATGATAAATAGAATGCACCTGTGTGTAATCAAGTCTCCGTATAAATGCACCTGCTCTTTGATAGTCTCAGGGTTCTGTTTAAAGCGCAGAGAGAACCATGAAGACAAAGGAACACACCAGGCAGGTCCGAGATACTGTTGTGGAGAAGTTTAAAGCCGGATTTGGATACAAAAAGATTTCCCAAGCTTTAAACATCTCAAGGAGCACTGTGGAAGCAATTATATTGAAATGGAAGGAGTATCAGACCACTGCAAATCTACCAAGACCCGGCCGTCCCTCCAAACTTTCATCTCAAACAAGGAGAAGACTGATCAGAGATGCAGCCAAGAGGCCCATGATCACTCTGGATAAACTGCAGATAACTACAGCTGAGGTGGGAGAGTCTGTCCATAGGACAACAATCAGTCGTGCACTGCACAAATCTGGCCTTTATGGAAGAGTGGCAAGAAGAAAGCTATTTCTCAAAGATATCCATAAAAAGTCTTGTTTAAAGTTTGCCACAAGCCACCTGGGAGACACACCAAACATGTGGAAGAAGGTGCTCTGGTCTGATGAAACCAAAATCAAACTTTATGGCCACAATGCAAAACGATATGTTTGGCGTAAAAGCAACACAGCTCATCACCCTGAACACACCATCCCCACTGTCAAACATGGTGGTGGCAGCATCATGGTTTGGGCCTGCTTTTCTTCAGCAGGGACAGGGAAGATGGCTAATATTGATGGGAAGATGGATGGAGCCAAATACAGGACCATTCTGGAAGAAAACCTGTTGGAGTCTGCAAAAGACCTGAGACTGGGACGGAGATTTATCTTCCAACAGGACAATGATCCAAAACATAAAGCCAAATCTACAATGGAATGGTTCACAAATAGACGTATCCAGGTGTTAGAATGGCCAAGTCAAAGTCCAGACCTGAATCCAATCGAGAATCTGTGGAAAGAGCTGAAGACTGCTGTTCACAAACGCTCTCCATCCAACCTCACTGAGCTCGAGCTGTTTTGCAGGGAAGAATGAGAAAGAATTCCAGTCTCTCGATGTGCAAAACTGATAGAGACATACCCCAAGCGACTTGCAGCTGTAATTGCAGCAAAAGGTGGCGCTACAAAGTATTAGCGCAAGGGGGCCGAATAATATTGCACGCCCCACTTTTCAGTTTATTTGTTAAAAAAGTTTAAATTATCCAATAAATTTCGTTCCACTTCACGATTGTGTCCCACTTGTTGTTGATTCTTGACAAAAAAAATAATTTTTATATCTTTATGTTTGAAGCCTGAAATGTGGCGAAATGTTGAAAGGTTCAAGGGGGCCGAATACTTTCACAAGGCACTGTAGACAGCCACAAGCAGTACAACCGTAAACTCCCTGAGTGTATGATGATCTGAGTGTAACCAGAAAACCAGAAAACTACACAATATGAATTAATCAATCGCATTTTTTATGATTTGAGTTGAAATGTGTATTCTTTTAGCTGACTAACCATTTCCTCTCTTAGGGTTTTTGAGTTTATGAGGTAAAACATCAGCTGATTGATTGGCAGGAGTGGTTATCAAGCTCAAGGTAAGAATCCATGAAACAATCAACAATTAAAAAGAAAGTAATTTAAAGATGGGTTGTGAAAAGGTAACAGGGGATGGCGTTGTTAGTGGATTGTCATGTTACACTTTTACTCCAGACATAATGCAACCACAGTCAAATAAGTCATCCACAGCTGCTATGGACTGAACCAGCTCCAGGACTAAACTGCCTTCAGACCAGCTCTGAGCAGAGGGCCTGTCTCAGATTAGATTGACAGTTGAGAAAACAAACACAAAGTTGACATATTTAACGGTAAAATTAATTATTGAGTTTATTATAAATATAACTTTCCATAAAGTGAGAAGTCAAAACATCAAACATCAAACCAACACCATCCAATATTCATCCAACAGGAGCCCTTAGTCATTCAAGATAGAATATTCTATGCACTACCAGGAATTAATCACATTGATATCCCTAAAAATAGGAACGATAGGAACGTTTTCTTTGCACGGAGGTCTGTGTGTGATGCACTCCACGTTTGTTTGTTTGACTGATTGAGGAGTTTTTGGACTGTAAACTGTTGTTTGTATATTGCTAAATGTTTCAGTACAAAAGACACATTGGAAAAGTACTTGAAGTACTATGTGTTAGCAGCCTTTCTCATTTACAGCCCTCTGTGCTGCTGAGTGATTTGCAGAGGTCAGACAGCCTGGCCTCCTGTTTTCAGACCTAAGGCTCCACACTGATGAGAGTTACACTTGATTTGGACTGAGGCTGCAACACTTTGAAGGCGCTGGAGGAGAGCGATCGGACTCAGACGGAATTACAGCTCTATATTTCAGGTGAGTGAGTGTGTACTCACAGATAGGGCCCATTAGAAAAGTTTAACCAGGAGGAAATGCACTTGGAGGAAGTGATAACAGAGAATTACACTGACCTTTATGGGCTGAGGTTAACACTGCAATTATTTTCTCAAGACAGAACAAAGACGACAATTCAAAAGGTAAAGAGTCTGGCTTATCCTCGTGTGTTGAATGCGTTTTCACGTTCAACCTTCCTCCCCAAGCCTTTGAACCCAAAAACTCACTCCTCAAGTGTCAATTTCAGAAAATGGATCTCGCTATGTCTCTGTGTTCAATTTAGTTCCCTGTCACTCCATACTTTAACTAAATATGCAGAACTTTATATTTTCATAACATATATAGAATAAGTGTGTGACTGCCAAATGGCACTTGAGACTTTCTCCGGGTAAAGTAGGAGGCGCTAAAAATATTCACAGAAGACTCCTAGAGATTCTAAAATCTCAGTGGAACTATCCGGGTTAGATTACAGGCAATACATTTGTTTCGATTTTCTTAAAACGACATCATGTTTGTTTACTTTCTTCAAATACAAGATTATGTTCCATTTACATTTTATTCTAGCATTATTCTAAATAAAAATGTATCCTGTACAGTTTCTAGTCATTAAATCATCAGCAGATGATGGACATCACCATTTCCATGCTTACATTAACCTGCATGTTTTACATACAGTTATTCCCAAAGCGGTCCATAGATGCGCAGAGGGATGTCTATTTTCAAACAAAGGCAGTATTGAAGCGAATCATCAAGATTATTGCTATATTGCAAGATATAAAGGTTTAAAGAATGTCACTACTTACAGATAATAAGAGTAGGAATAAGCATGTCTTCTGAAGCAGGAGCTGAGATGGAGGTGAAAAGTCAAAAGGAAAAACACATTAGATTAGTTCATGTAGCTTATTGTTTTAAGAACACACTTGTCCTTCATAGTTTGATACTTTAAGAATGTGTGAATGTGTCCTCATCTTGGAATTTCATAAGACTTTTACAGCGCTGTCTTCTGACAGAGCCTCTGGTAACGTCTAAATGATGATAAATTATGTTCAACTGTGTTTATCTTGACAGAAAGTCAGATTAGTATCGGAAAAATGGCCCAGGTTGCAATATACATTTAGGATAAACCAATTCAAGTATATAATACCGTCCATCACAGAGAGTTGGATAGATTAGAGGAGGGAAGAGGTGAGAAAAATGTAATGCACTGTAAGTATTTTTCTCTTCATCAAATAAACAAACACGTTTATTCAATCAGTCATTGGTTTATTTTTTTAGCTGACCATTTTTTTATTATTTGTGATCAATAACATTTGTCTAAATGAAGGGGAACTTGTCCCAGGATTTGGTTGGGTTTAGTCATTTTCAGTTTGTCTATTGTTTAAACAATACAATTTAGAATTATGTAGAATATCTAACAGTTGACAAGATCTGTATTGGCCATTTCTCTAAACTTTACTCTTTTGTTGTCGTCATGCTACACTCCTAAGACCTCTACAAACAAAAACAATTAGTATTAGTAATATTTTAAATATATATTATGCCTCGCATGTTTCCCTTTTCATTGTCACCAAATGAGGGACAGTCAGGTATGAGGGATTTTAAGGATTTGTTGTAAATAATAATAATAATAATACCAATAGTAATAAAAAAAACAATACAATAATGTATTATGGACACAAACAGATTAGTTGACTATAGTTCGGTGTTGGTAAATAAAACACTTTAATTATCTCTGATCTTGCAGTTTGAGTTTCTGAGGAGAAGATTGCCTGCAGAGCCTATAGCGTGAGTGACAATGAGACGGACCAAACAAACACAGGATCACGGATCAATACACCCAGAACACAACGAGAACACCTTAATCTGGACTGTCACTCAAGCAAATAAGAAGAAGCACAAACTTTCACTGAAGTAGCTTAAATAGCAATACCACTTCCCCAATTACTGTCACTACCTGCTCCGATTGGTAACTTCACTGAACAGCAAGTCTACTGTCCCCGTTTCTACAATATTCTAATGTTACCTTCACAAATCGGTTCATACTTGGCCTGGAAGAAGAAATGCTAATGTTTGTTTATACAGACATGTTTTTGGTTGTCATATTCCACAGTATGGCATTAAATATGGATATTTCCACAGAGAAAGTTGTATTGAAACTTTCTATTTGCCTATAGGTTATATATTTGCTTTAGCTACCTCCGCCCTGGGTCCTCAACCTCCAATTTATCTGTACTGAGACATGTTTTGCATGATCCATGTCATCAAGCATTGATTATTTGACAAGCCAGCCTTTTTCAGGTATCTCCCCTCTTCAATAATGTTTTTATACCTGTCTTGGGGGATCTTATGTAATACTGTCCAGTGCAGAGAAGAACCAGATGGACGCAGACTTCAGAGGACTAAAACCGAGACCAAAACTTAAGCTCACAAACGAGGAGCCGGACACAGCCAAGACTAGCACACCGGTGAGAGTTTGACCAATGAGTGTCATGGCTGATTATTGCTGAAGGTAAATGTAGCTTTATTTTGCTAAAATTGAATGAAAAATTAAAGAACAACAGGTTTCATCATGTGGTTTGAAGTAGCTAGTTTTCAAGTTCAGTCTGTTGCTTGTTTGCAATCAACCTTGGGATCTAAGCCAAGCATCAAACTTTCACGTTGAAATGGATAAAACCTAGCCTGGTCGTACCACACCATAGTACAAATTACATTTCGTACTAAGGTCTGGAGGTGCTCTATTGAGTTCCATTAACAGGTGGAAGGGGTTAACTTCTTTTGCAGATTGAAAAGATTGGATCTGAGTTTACCGTGACGTATGTAATGTGCCCGAGTAAGTTGTTAGCATTTAGCCTAGCCATCTCCTTTGCAGCTAACGGAGAACGTGGGGAGTAGCACCACAAACTTTGCCAGCGATGACTTTTGCTAAACATTCCTCTTGCTCCGGCTTCGATTTCTTGATAGAACAAGACCAGATTACTTTACTATAGCATTCTTCGCCATTGCCAAACTACGCCCTGCCTGTTCGGCGTAAACTCTTGACGTCACCCACAGTACTACAAACACAGGGACAAGACCCAGACGTTACATGCAGGGAAAGTATCATTGAGTGGAGTGTACAGATGGCTAAGGCAAATCTAATGCGGAGAGGCCAGTGATAAATATATAATAAAAAACCTTTTGCTATATCAAGTAAAGAAAATAAATGAATCCCAATGATTGATAGACTGTATCTCACCATTAAAAGTAAAAAGGTTAACACAAAACAACAACAATTGCAGCAGTCATAAACTACTTATTCGTGTCTGAAAAAAAAAGGTCCTCTGTCATAGGCATAACTTTTGAAGCCTTCTGCTGACATTGTACTACGATATTAATAAAGTGCAGAGCGGCAGGACCCAGCTGTTAAAGCCAAGAGCGTTAAATCTGCTCATAAATATTAATAAGCCATAGAAACACTCACAAGCGGCTGTGTGCAGAGGAAAGAGTGTGGAGGTGTATCTGCGAAGAATGAAGACATAATACAGATGATGTGTGAGATTTGTTAGTGTCAGACAGTGGGTGGGTTTTGTTGTCTTATTTTCTTGTATCTTTTAGCTCAAATGCATTAGATTAGAATGTTACTTCCTTTCATGCATTTCAGGGTGTGAAATAGTAGTCATTGTCCGTGGTATGTAGAACACTATCAAAGGCATATGAATAAAAAGGATCTTCTTACACCATAAAACCAAACATATAAGGAATAGAAAATGCACACCAAAATGTATCAAAAACTACTGGAAAAAAAATGATCAATAATGACACATATGACTCAAGAATCCAGTTCTTCTTAGTTTTCTAATTTTACAAACCAAACCATGCATGCATTTTATGAAACAATAATATCTTCGTATATTATATAAAACAAAAGAAGAAAAGATAAATAATATTTTCAGTGAACTAAAATTGAGTCCTGTCTTAGACTAAAATGACCTTTTGCTCACAGCAGCTCTGAAACTGTCTGAATACTTTATAAGGCACATTCACACTGCCATATCCATAACAAACTCATATGAATATTATGATGCTATCAGCGCTGGAAACATAAGCCCAATGCATTTCAATATGGACTGGAGGCTGGAATAGCACTGGAGCAACGCACATTTATCAGGACTCATGCGAGGGATGCAGTTTATCACACGTGTAAAGATTTCCTTTCAGGTCGGAGTCCAGTGAAAAATATCCTGTCCTCGTTTTAAAATGCACTTTATTTAACACAAGGCGACAGTGTGTCAGAGTGATGTACACCCACAGGTTTGGTAAATGCAGTATATGTAGTGTCACTGTACAGATACTTCTGCGTTGTCAATATGATGAATTATAGACGCTGGGATTCCGACGCACAATAATCAACATGAGGGAAAGAAAGGCATATACATGTTTTGTTGAGAAGCTGGAAAGGCACTGTCTTCTGCCTACATAATTGAAAAATGGGCTTCTCTTTCACCAGGGTACTCATAACAAGCACTTTCATTTTCCAACTTTTGAACTTTTACCATAATCTTTATCAAATAAAACCAAACTCAGTGACTTATTGTATGAACAAAGAATTAAGCTTAGTGACAAAAAATAATCCACTCTACAGGGACATGCCAAGCCACATCAGAGAACCTGTTAACCTTGGTGTGTTTTTCTATTCTCAAGCATTCTCCATATTGTCAGTGACAGTCCCTCATCGCTTGTACAGATTTCTAAATGGTCCTTGAGCTTCTCTCTCAACAAGCAGAGCAGGCCATTAGTCGAACTCGGCTCCAAAGGGTCACAGCACAGAGATGTTGGAATCTTGCTGCAGAAAGCTCTTTGGAGCGTAACCCAGGTTTGTCTGTTCTAGACCTAATTATTCCTGAGCTCCACAAAGGCAGGCCATTGCCGTGTTCCGAAGATAAAGACTACACTTAACTAAAGTGAGCTGAATTTGAACTGATGAAAAAAACACATGAATGAACAACATTAAGTAAGTTAGAAGTTATAGTTGGATATTTGAAGCCATGATCTAAATACTGCCACATTTCAAAGCAACCAAACAGCAAGGTTATTGAAAGTGCATGACCCTTTCTGCTTTTATCAAAACATGCAAGCTCTAAATCAAACCTTTTACTAGCAAACCTGGTAACAAAGAAAATTGCAGCCAGACCTGAATTCACCACCATTTCCTTGTATTTGCAACATCTACTTCTATAGTTAACGACGAGTATTTCTAAAAAGCTGCATTACTTATGTTGTAATAGATGTGCACTTTTCATGTTTGTTTCTTCATGTGTATTGATGTTTGGAGCGGTGCATTGTGGATGAGTGAGAGATGAGTATTTCCCTCTTTATCTCCACTTCTGCTGGTTTTGAAGATTCAACAGTCTTCAATTCACAAATAAAACAAGTGGATCTGAATGTCAGACCATAGATTCACACGCTCGGGTCAGCCCACAAACGAAAAAACAAACAATAAAAGAAAGATATTCCAATTTCTGTAAGTATTTAGAACTCAGTAATTAAAACTATGAGCACAAATCCATTCCAAACAAAATTGAAACAACATCCATGACCAGCTTGATGCACAGACACAAATGAATGTGATGAGTTGACCAAGTGGCTACGACACTTAAACAAGTCAATGTGTTTAGAGAATGAACGATGTGGAAGCTCTTTTTTTGCCTAAATCAACCAGATGGCAAATGTGGGAGTGAAATGAGGTGATGTTGAGAAGTTAAGATACAATACCCCACGCTCAGAGTTCTCCACGTGTGAATCTCTCTATTGGAGCGAGGACAGTGCGGGGACGGGGAAGGGGCGGAGCCAAAGACAGGAAGCAGGA